TAGGTAATGTAAAGATATTATTGTGAGTTTGCATCTCAGAAGGTTTGGAAGAAATAGAATCTGAGATATTTAGTTTTTCTTCTATAGAGGCGCTCGCCGTATACTCGGTTCTCACAGTTGTGCAAGGTACCATAGCCTGTCCTGTACGTTGGGTCTGGCCGTCATTAACTTGGTCCTCTACGTAAAAATGATAATTAATTTTAGTATCTCTAATATAATACTATATAAATGCATAGTATTGTTTGTCTGGGACTCAATTTTAATTTATTAATAAAATTATAAAAATAGTAAAATTTTAATATTTTACTAATTAATTATAGAGGATTTTGGTTAATTTTTAGTATATCTAAGAAATATAAAATTATTATAAGATTATAATATAAATAAATAACTATTTAACTTAATTTAAACAAATTTGAGAATAGTTAGGGTTAGAGTAAGCTTATAGTTTATATTAAAGTTAGCTTAGATTTAGGGTTAGAGTTTTCTTATATTATAATCTTATAATATTTCTATATTGCCCAGCTATACTAAAGAAGATCCAGGATTTCTATTTGTACATAGTGTATATAAACACAGTTATGTGAACATGCTATTGATGTGTTATACAAAGTGCAAATCCAGATTAAATACATAACTATGCAGGTAAAATATATTATATCAAGTGCAAATTTAGCAAATTGATACTTAATATATCTATAGAAAATATATAGTATACATAGTATATACTAAAAAAATTTTTATAGTTATGGCAAATATATAGTACATATGTATACAGTGTGTACTTCATAAAAAATTATCTAGTTATAGTCAATAAATTATTGTTATATAGTCATACAATCTTTAGTTATAAAATAATTATATTACAGAATTTCTTTTGATGGCACTCAAAAAATTTATTAACAAGAGAAAACTATTATTTAATTAATTGTATATAGTCTAAAAATATTATTATTTAATAATTAATTGTATATAATCTAAAAGTATTATTATTTAATAATTAATTGTATATAGTCTAAAAGTATTATTAATTGTATATAAAATAAAAAAATTAAAAACTTAAATTCTATATAATTTAAATCTAAAACTGATATAATTTAGGCCTAAGAGCTAAAAAAAATTAAAAACTTAAACTTGAAACAATGTCTAGATCTTAAGAGCTAATATTGTTAAGATCTAAGAATTAGCAAAAAATTAAAATTTCAAACCTAGACAATGACTGAGTACTAAGAACTAATATAATTTTAACTTAAGAATTAGCAAACTTTAAAAACTTGAACTCAGACAATAACTAGATCCTAAAAGCTAATATCATTGAGGTCTAAGAATTAGCAAAAAATTAGAAACTCAAACCCAGAACAATGACCAAAACCTAAAAATTAATATCAAGAATTAGCAAAAAATTAGAAACTCAAACCCGGTCAACGACTGGGTTCTAAGAGCTAATAATGTTGAAGCCTAAGAATTAGCAAATAATTAAAATCTTGAACCCAGGCAACAACACGGTCCTAAGAACTAATAATGTTGAGGCCTAAGAATAGGCAAAAAATTAGAAACTCGAAACCGAGACAACGCCCGGGTCTTAAAACTAGTTATAAATATGGTTAATCATGTGTAAAAAATAATAATGAAGGTAGTCATGATTGGCTCTTAGTGCGACGGGGGATTATAATTAAATATAACCTGCCATTTAACGACGGGCCTTATATCTAGTTTTCTTTTTAGATACTTGCCAAACTTCATAATCCTCTATAAGAAGAGTCGAATTTAGTGATATAAAGTTTTTTAAATTAGGATACACATTAGAATTAGAAATATGTAAGTGTTTTGAATCAATATACATGTCAAAATTATTCTTATTACAACCAAAGCATGGACCGTAATCTGATTGATATTCTGAAACCCAACTATTCTTATTAACACTTGCCAATTTAGAAGTACCAAAATCATTTTGACTATCAAAAGAAAATAAAAAATTATTTCTTGATACTATTCTCTCAATATAATGATTTTCCGTATTTGAATCATTATAACCACCAAAAATACGTTGATCAGATGTTTTTATAATTGTTAGTGTTGAACCTTTATTGTCACATGAATCATGAAACTCCTTTGCTTTAAAATCATTTTCACTTCCACGATAAAGAAGAATAAAATCATAAAGGTTATTGTTTGAAAAGTGAGTTGGTCTAGTATTTAAAGTTATTTCTTTAAAATGGTTTTTCTTCTCATTTGTAGCATTTGAATTAAATAATTTGTGAACAAAGGATTTATTTTTTTGATTAAGTTCTTCAATCCAACTTTCAAAAATTTTAAAGTGTCGTGGTTTAAGAAGGAATGTACATGGTAAAATTCTTTTTTGTGAATATGATTTCATTTCCTCTGATAATAAGTTAGGATCAAGATAATAATCTACAATATTTTGATATAAATCATCTGGTATGACATTTTTTAAAAAGGACCGAATTTTATCAAAGTCTTTTGCAGGTAGCGTAAACCAGCGAATTAGAGGAATAAAGTCATGAATGACCTCCTCAAAAATCTTGAATTCTTGACTTGTCCAGGTCATTTTGCTTTTTCGAGAGGTTTCTTCGTTTTGTGCAGCTCCCCATCTAATTAAATAGTCACAAATATTTTTCTCGCTTAATTTTCCCATATCATCACGTTCCAGTATTCGATTTAAAATGGAACGATTCAATTGAATCAAGTTATGGTTGCCAAATAATGCATTGGGGTTGAGACATATAAGATAGATACTATATTCACGGAATGATTTACATATATCATATTCAAAAACCATTTCTAATACACCAACTGCGTCATTTTGAAGAAGATTTTCTAAATTTTGTTCGATAAAAATTGACATTTCGGTAAATAAATTTTGAAGTTGCAGGATATTGGCCTCTATCAATGTATACAAAATTTCAGTACCATGAAATTTATTCACTATAAGATTTAAGTTTACTTTTGAGAATAGATTATTCACGATTATTTCATTTTGTAGCTTAGAGGCTGTTTTCATAAATTGTAAAAATTGTGCAATATCCAATTTATCGAGGATAATATTAATAAAGTTATCACTCATTAGCAAATTATCAATAGTTTTTCTAGATTTCATATTATTTGGCATCCTCATGAGTTTTAAAATGTCATTCGCATTAAATTTGTATAGGATATTATTGATGAAAGTTTTGTTTGATAATATATTGGCAATTGATTTTTGAATTATTAACTCCTCAGTCTTTTCTATGATTTCTAACACTTGTGCACAATTTAATTTTGCTAAGATGGCCTCTACAATGTTATTTTTTGATAATATATCATTAATAGAATTTTGAATCTTTAATTCATTAATCATCATCAATTTTAAAACTTCTCCACCATTCAGCTTTCTCAAAGTCATTGCACGAAAATTACTAGGTAATAATAGATAATCGTGAATAACTTCAAGGCCCATCTTGTTTGCTGCTACAATAAGCATTAATATGTTGGCTCCATTCAATTTTTCAACATCAAATTCTGTAGTATATAAATATCTTTAAATTAAAATATAATTACATACAATTAATAATAGTTACGTCGTATAATATAATGCATATATAAATACTCAAAATACCTTAAAATTACTTCAAACACAATTGTAGAAATATCTTGAATTGGATAAATAAAAGGGCTTTCATCTTTTTTAATATTAGAAAGGGCAGCTTTGAAATAAGAGGAACGTGCACATAAGATTAGTGAATGCGCGTAAAATTCTTTGAAATCAGTATCTTTACTAACACGAATGATGATATCACATTGTTCATTAATTTGAATTAGACTTTTATTAATATTAACAAGATCCTCATATGAACTAAAAAATGCTTCGTATTTTGGTTCAGATGATACATATTCTGATGCATATCTTGGTCTCAAGTTCAAGTTTACGGTTTCCACTGGCAAAGAACTAGGATTTAAGTAATAAGTTAAAATACTGTTATACAAAGCTTCTGGTAAAATATTTTGAAGGAGTTGTCTATTCGGTCTAAATTCTCTACTTGAAATCTGGTACCATCGAATTAAAGGAATAAATTCATTAATTGCACTTTTTAATTCAATATAGTCATCATTTTCCCAGGTATCTATGTTTTTTTCTTGAGTAGTAGTAGGAAGTTGAGCAATTACCCATTGAATCAAATAACTTAAAATACTAAATTCACTTAGTTTTCCTAGATCATCCCGTTTTAATATGAGAGTTAGAATTGATGAATCTAGATGAGTAAATCTAGGATGTTCGAATACCATATTTGGATAAGTACATATAAGTTGAAGGCATGGTCCATACAATGTCTTGAATATATTATTATATAGAAAAATAATTTGTAATGTTTCAATTGCATCATTTCGCATTATTTCTTCCAAATTTTCGTATATATAAGAAAATAATTTTCTATTAATCCCTTCATTAAGAAGTAGTAATCTATCGGTTTCCACTAAAAATTCCAAAATCTCAATACCACTTAATTCATTTAAAGAAATCTCAGTAGTGTATATGTACCTTTTAAAAATAAATCAGTACAATTAATAGTTATTTGACAAGGATATAAAAATAATATTAACGTATATAGATACGTACTTTAAAACAGCTTTAAATGTATTTATTGATACATCTTTCATTTCAATAATGAAAAAATTTTCTTGTTTCCTAGCCCATCTACTGGAAAGAGCACTATCAAAAAAGCTAGAGCGCGCTCTTAAAATAAGTGAGTGTGCATAGAACTCTTTTAAATCCTCTCCTTGGATAAAGCGAATAATTACATCAGAATTATGACCATCTTGAAGAAGTTTTTTATAATGTGATGCAAGTTCTTTAGAATTTTTCTTCATTGTTTAATTTGATAATTTGATCAATATTTTTTAAAAAAATTATAATATTGTATTCAGCTTAATACGTATATATAATTATATATGAGTGCTGCCAAGGGAAAAAGGCCGTTCAGACCTTCATGGCAGCACTCACATAAATACGTAAATGGAAATAATGTGCATTATGTACACTGTTACATTTGGTTGTTATATCAGATTCCTATTTAGGTGATTTTATAATAAATTACCCTTTTTATTCAAAGAAAAATCCATATGGTTATTCCATATGGTTATGCAAACGAGACAAATTGAATGCATGTTTATGTGAACAAGAGAGAATTTCGGGTCCTCAGAATAATTTGTCAATTACATATACGTTGTTAAAAGTTTGGCTCCTATTGATTCATTCGGAAAGATTTAACTATATCAAAGTTTGCCGATATATAATTCAGAAATTCTACGCAATAAACCATTAATGTCTTCATGATTAGCTTCGATCACTTTCGTTTTCAACTTGTTTATTACATTATTAATAAATTATGTTTCCAATTTTATTTGTTACAGTCAAGACCCCTTAAATGTAACCCCGCTTGAGTGCATGTCTTCTCTTGGGCACAACTAATAATATCTCTCTAAGTGCACGTTTGGCTAATTTTTACATAAGGTCCTGTCGCATTACATTTAGATAAATCTTACCGTAATATAAAGATAAATTCTTGTAAAAAAAATTTTTTAAATTTCACTTATCCTTAGAGTATGCTACATATCCATTCGATTGGACCAAATCTTCTACATTTTTATTTTAATATGTACAGCTGATTGTTTAAAATATGAGCCATTATAAATTTTTATTAATCGGAAATTCTAAATAGAAATAATTTGTGAAATATAAAGAAATGGCTAATATATATATATATTTATATCTGAAGACAAAGTGTTACGTACTCGAGATTTGTTACGAATAGTGTAACGCAAATTAAATATCTTACATACTGTACGTTCTGATCGTGGTAACTGATCCGGAATCTCAAAAATATGGCCTCACGTATTTCAACACACTAAAACTATCTAAAACAACAACACTATAAGTCACTATCTAACCTAAACTCTAATAGCGGCAGGTTGCGATCGAGGCGTGGTGAGATTTGGTTCGAGTTATTAGGGTGCTAGATTAGGACTCTATATTACGTCACGAGGTACTAATTCGGGATCACGGGATTAGACTTTTATATATCGGAGGAATTAGAATGAAATATTTGTGTGCCTAATATTTGAACTCTATTGAGTTCTTCCCAGAACTCTGACTCAGTTCAACTGCAATTTCGTCCAACTTAACATCTTTATTGTATATGCCAAAGGCATCGTATTTATAGTTTCTATGCTACTAATGTTCGCTATACTACGTATATTCGCGTTGAGCACTATGTACAAAATGTACATATGTACAAATGTACAGAATGTACTTATGTGCAAAATGTACAAAATGTACTTATGTAAAAATGTACAAAAATGCACATATGAACAAATGTCAAAATGTACAAATGTATAAAGTGTACATATGTACGTACATGTACAAAATGTACAAAAATGCACATATGTACAAATGTACAAATTAGAGTTGCTGGTGAAACTAATTAATTTCACCAGAAACTAGTGCACCATTGAAGATTAGTTTCACCTGCAACTCTAGTACAAATGTACAAAATGTACATATGTACGTACGTACGTACGTACATACATTTACATATCTGATATTCTGATACAATTCAAAAATTAAAAATTAATTGATGAACCATATAAGCTAATATATTGAATTGTATTTTAAAAAGGCATTTAATGATTCCAATCGATTATTAACTGTAGGAATAATTATGACTACCTTATTAGCACTATTTATAGTTTATTTTTTATTGGATTATGTATTTTTTTTTTACATATTTGAACGACAAGGAGCAATTCTTAATCTACATATATGTATACATAAACTCATTAATATCCCATTTATTTTAGTTATTCTTTAGCTTTAACTATTTTAACTATTAGTGAAGAACTAATTTGGGATTTATATTCTATTATGACTGTGTCATTATGGTCCATATTAGCACTCACGCTAATTTAGAATATTGCATTTGTACAAAAGGATACTAATTACCGTATTTTGTGGAGTAAAATACCCGGGGCATAAGAAAATATTTAATTATACCTGGATACTATACTAAGAGGGGTACTGTAATAGAAATGTGTACAATACTATATAACCAATCATATTGTAAACCGTGTATAGTACCCGGACCTTTTACTCTGAAATTACTAAAAAAGAAATAGGAGTATTATGCTAAGGGGGTATTTTACTCCACAAAATATGGTGCTTCTTTTTTAAATTAATAAAGGAAGTTTTATTGGAATTTATTTGACGTACTAGTTACTTTAAGAATCTTTTAATTTCTTTTACTATTGGGATCCTTAATTTAATGTATGATATAACTTACATGTATGTGATCAAAGGGAAAAGGAGAGAAGAAAACAGGGTATGAATAGCATTTTTGATATTTTTGATATAATTATTCCCATAACATTTGTTTTTTTTTACAAATTTTTCATTGGAAAAGTTTATACCATTATCGATGTCTTAGTTATAATTATTATGACTTGTTATTTTGTAGAAATTGTACCGTATCTGTAATTAATAAAGTAAGAATCAGTCAGTCAAAACTTATGGATTAGAGGTGTTATCAAGCACCTCACTCAATAAATCGGTGGAAAATTTTAATTAGTTGGGAATTGAATGAATTAACTAAGTGAGTTACCATTTTCGATGAACAAATCAATCCATCATTTTCTTCAAAAATTTATAAAGGTCTTTTAAGCATAACTATTACATTTAAAGCTCAAAGCTTTTAAAACAAATAATTGATACCTTAATATGAATGTATAAATACAACCTATCTTATTTTAACCTTTAATGAACCAATAATATTTGACGGATAATGGAGGCTATAACTCTTTTGAAACATTTTTCGTATTATCTATGCTACTTTCAATGCGAAGTTACCTATAAAAAAAAAATTACTTTTTTTTAAAAAAAAATAAATTTATTCACTGTTGCTGTAAAACTACCTTTGCTAAACAACTCTATAAGCTGTTCCGTTAATTTACAACAAAAAAATTTAAATTGATAAAATTATTAAAGGAGAAACCGGCGCAACTAAGTTGCAACTTTGCCAAATATTATAAAAATTAGTAAGAGTACGTTCAAGTATTTAATTCTAGTGATGTTTGAGTATTATCATGATCATTATTTAATTAATTGATTAAGATACTTGTGGAAGACACCCTTGGATGAATGAGTATTTATTGTTTAGAGAATCAGCTTCGATCATTGTAAATTTAGTAGATTTAGCAATTATGGCGGCCACCTTATTTTAATTGGCTGATAATATAATTGGTCTGGAGCGTAGCGAGTGTTACAAAATTTACGTTTTTGTTGCATTTAGCCACCAAGCTTTACCTTATTGATGCATTTGCATTTGCATAAATATTATGAAGATCATATCAGAAATTTTGTCAATTTAGTGTAACAAATTATGCGTTTGCCAATGAGATGATCATCATATGATATCCTCCAATGCGACGTATTTTCCTAGTGTATATAGTAAAGACGAATAACTTTGTCTTTTATGTAAAGTTCCCTGGGATTCTGATCTTTTCCTGATTCTTTTGCACAATGGACGTTGCTGGTACTGTATTTCGTTAAAGCTATGAATGTTATTTTTTTTTTTTAATTAGTGGAACGTTACATTCTTAAAAGCATTGTAAACATAAATTAAAGCCCTATACAGAATATGAACAAAGAATATTCTATAGCATAAATAATCAAAATATGGTCACCAATAAATAAACACTATCATACTGTGTTGTTACTAAATTATGATTTTATATATAAATTTCTATGAATTATTAACCTTTATACGTTCTATACTTAAAAATTCAAAGATAAACGAAAATGGGTGAAGCAACAAAAGCTATAGGTGTATTGAAAATAATACTCTTTCTACTTTATTTTATTCTCTGGATATATTTTAAAGTCAATGAATTCGACTCTCATACATCCAAATCATTTACTATAAATATAATTTTGGCGTTTGCTTTTGCTTTTTCGATAATATTTTTCTGCACCGAGATAGTTGTTTTAGCAGAAGAAGAAGATGAAGGTACATTTTTAAACAGCGGTTGTATTATTTTTATCTATCTCATTCTTACACTAGCTTATAGTGGTGCAGTCAGCATAGGAGATTTAAATGCGGGAAAAGTGCTTCCCGTTCTAATTTCATTATTATGGATTATAATTATACTTTCAATGATTCAAATAATTATTACTGCCAAAAAACTTACTTATTGGCAATTTTTTAAAATTATTAAAATCCTATTTATTATAGTTTATTTAATAGATTATATTATTTATGATCCTCACATTATTAATGCATCTACTGGTGAAAGATACTTACCATATCACGCCATTAATATTTTAGCTGTTTTTATCACCGCTATTTTAAATTTAGTCTTTGAATTATTTGTCATGTTTTGGGTGAATGTGAGTACGGACGAAATATCTTTTGCTATATTTTGCAAACTTTCTCTTATATTATTCACCTTTATTTACTTTGGTGCCGCCTTTTCAAATATATATTTTTTATCAGAGGAAACTTACTCTATGATTGATGGGTTAATATGGGTTATTTTAACTAGTAGTTTTGTGGAAACTGTATCCATTCTTGGTTTAAAATAACTTTAATGATGATAAATTTTTGATGACAGTAGATTATAATTTTATTATGCTCATTGAATTTTTATTTGATTATTAATTAACTTTTATATATGAATGTGAATTCTTACAAATATACAAATAAAGAAATTTCTTAATAAATAAAAATTTTTGATACTTCTGTATACTTATAAGTTTTAGAGTTATCAAATCATATGATAAAACCTCTTCACTAAGTAAAATTTTTCTAAATATTATTCTGCATTGCCAGTAGCTAGAGCTATACCTAAAACTATATATGAAGCAGTGCATTATGCCAGAGGCTTCTTAAAATCCCAAACAAAAATGAAAAAACCCTTAAACCATAAAAGCAAAATTTAACAAAGCTTATGAATACAGACTAAACCTCTACCAAAAGATACAACTTTATTTTAAAAAATTCTTCTCTTCACTCCTTCTATTAAACTCAAATCACAAACTAAAGCAATCATTAATGCTTTTAAAAAGCTATAAAAATTTAGCACAATTATCTTCTAACTATAATAACTTAACTAACAATGGCTTTACTACAAAATCCCGAAAGAATATAATACTGATAAAGTTAGCTAGCATTAGTAATAATCCTAGCCAATTTAGTCAGTATTATCTCCTCTTGGGATTTTGTCATTTAGGATTTTGTGGTAAAGCTCTTGACAACTTATGTTATATTTTTCCAGTTTTATACAGATTTGCTCTTCAGTATCTCAGAGCATATAAGAGAAAGCTAGCAGGTTACTATAACATAGTTCAAATTCCAGACTTCTACTTTAATCAACTATTTTCTATAACTTATTAGAAACTCAATCATAAAGTTCATAAATTCCTTCTTTATAATCTAGCTATCTTACTAGTATCTCTACAAGAAGTGATAACCCAACTTCAAAAATACTTTAATTTATGTATAGAACTAACTAAAATTTGTAATAAACCCAAATTTATATTTCTTATTACTAATGATGATGAAGCAAAAGAGTTTATAAAACAAATTATACTATATTACAAATTTAGGCTCTTACTACTTTCTACTATTCTACTCCACAAATAAGCCAAGCCTATTTATCTCAAAGCAAGTTATCCAAAATCTGATATCACTCTTCCAATTACTACTCCTTAGCAACTAACTAATACAGCTAAACTTTTAAGAAAACACTTCTATTTTATCTAGTTATCTACTAAGTAGATTCAAATCTTTGCACATACTACAAATATTGTTAAATCCTCTAATACTTCACAAATCTTATTTTAAATTCTAGAAAAGATTGCAGAAATTAAAAAGTACTTGAAATTAATTACAGTTCCTGATTAAATTCCAAGAAGATATTACTGCTACAATGAAACTTCTAAGACAACACTTTCAATTAAAACAATCTCAAATAAAATACTTAAGTTCTCACACTTACCTGGACCAATTGGATATTTTCACTAATATTATAAAATATTTATGGCCAAAATCACCAAGTACTTATATCACTATAGTTAATACAATAATACATACAAAAACCAATACAACACTATTATTAAACAATATAGTACCAATAAAAATTAATTAACTACTATATAACTAACATACTTTTGCAAACAAGTAACTACTTTGCTACACGTGCCAAAACTACTTTAATACAAACAAATATTGATATTTATAACCACCCCAATATTGCTATTTATAATATACAAGAGCTTATCAATTCTCTTAAACTACAAATTTAGCTCAAATTTTGCACTAATAACAACTTAACATTATTTCAATAACAGAGAACAAATTAAAAAATTCTATTTTTATAACACTTACTAACTCTTTATACAAAATATACATATCTAACTTTATACTAAAAAACAATCTTCAATATGAAACAAGTCTTAGAACAACAATTGCTTTATATAAATCTCTTTAACCTTTTATATACAATATATACAAACTTATCTTGGCACTGCAGTATATATAGATTTTTATTTTCTAGCTAACAACAAACTTCAAATAATTTTAATTTATATATTTTCAAACCATTCTGAAAAGCTACATCCACTTAAAATATTATTTCTACTAGTTAAATAAAGCTAAAAGTTGAACCTGGAATACTATTACTTTTAGTAACTTTGATGACAATTCTTCCTACTATAAAAAATCATTTAGCTTGTTTTTAACTCTATGCTCTCTATATTTATTCTATCTTTTTGAATTTTTTTTCTATCTCTAAATTACCTAAAGCTATAATTTTTAATAAAGCCAGATAGATGATATTTATATTAATTTAGAATTCTGCTAGACTTTAGTACTTCTATACTTACAGACTCTGTTAATATTATAGACAATAATTACAAAATTATATCGATTACATAAAAAACTAATTTTTACAAAGATACCAAAAACAAAAAGAAAAAAAAGATTTATTTATACTACCAAATAACAACCAACTCTTGGCAGAATTTTGCCAATAATATAAAAAGAAATTTAAAACTTAATTTGTGATCTGTGTAACAATTGGAGACCATATATAGTAAAAACCAGGGAAAATTACTATTGTTTTTACTAGTCTCAGAAATCTGGTCTCCCAACTGTGATAACAAATTTCTTTACTATGCTAACTACTTTTCTACTTCTAACAAAGTTGTAGAGACAGTTGTTGCAATCATAATGGTGGTAAGATCACTAAAGTTAACCTGGTGGGTCCCATGCAATTGTAAAACAACATTTCACAGCCTTATAAAATTTTTGTGTAAATAATGCATAGAAATTCATATGGTCTAAAAATGTTTTTTGACAATATCTTGGGATCTACTAAATAAATTTTGGTGATCTTATCACTGTTATGATCGTAACAACTGTCTCTACAACTTTTGTTAGAAGTAGAAAAGTGGTTAGCATAGTAAAAAAAATTCACTATACAGTTGGGAGACCAGATTCCTGAGACTTGCAAAAATATTAAGTGATCTTATCCTCGATTTTTACTATATATGGTCTCCAATTGTTACATAGATCACGAATTAAATCTTTTAGAAACTCTTATAGTATATATATAGTTAAAAAAATAATGGAATAAATAATTTAAAAAGATGTAGTGATTTAGTGTAGTAGTCTAGTCATTACCTTCTCCAAGTGGCAGGTCTAGAGTTTGAATCTTACAGACAATGATATTTGAAAAATAGGCTTGTATTCAGTTGACAGCTATGCTTATCAGTTGGATCTAATCTGTAACTTTAGTCACACCATCTAGTAATGAGAGCAATGACACAATAAATCCAAGAAACTAGCATAACCAAATATCTATTTGGAAAGTCCTGGGATAGAGCCATGGTATAGATTATCGAAGTCTGAATAAATATATGTGTGAGATATATAATATCTAGCAAAATGGTAATATCCCACTATCTAATGATCTGTAGGCACCCAAAACTAAGTAAACAAACTACACAAAAGGTGTAAATCTTTCAATGAGGTAAAATAAAAGTTAATATGACTATACAAGATTAAGGCTTGGTATGTCTCTTTTTGGATAGTTCAAATTGGGTTGCATGAACTGTAATGCCACAGAGAGAAGGACCTGAGACATCTGTGATAGGAATAATTAATTAGAAAGGTTGTAGCTTGAGATACAGATTAGGTTATGGCTAGGGTTCCTACAAATTAAACTCAAATCAAACTTTAACTAAGTTTGAGTTTGATTTGAGTTTGAAGCATTAAAGTTTGATTTGATTTGAAAAATTTTAGTTAAATTTGAGTTTGATCCGGGTTTGATTTGAAGTTTGTCAAACTGTTTGAGTTTGAATAGTAAAATTTCC